TCCTCTTGCTCGGTATATACTATTTGAATGACAGTCTACCTTTGAACAAAATCAAAGCGCGTCAAATTACAACATTCTTGAATGGATAAAAATATATGCTGAACTTTTGTTTGAGATACATGAAAAAAATTTTAATCTTGTATAACCTGTCACTTCGTCAGGCCCCGGTTTTGTCAGAGAAGTGCAACATACGTAAGAGTAAGATAAACCTGTTCACTGGTATGATTTCACTGAAGACTTGGGTAGAAATTAGCCGATCTGTGGACCAGTTTTGCTTTTATATTATGCTTATGACTTTAGGCATAAGCATTATTGTTGCAAAAAAAAATACCATTTCTGCAACAGTTGTCTCTTTCCCCCGGTGTAGTCTTGACTGTGGTGATATGATCGTATTTGCCATGGTGTACTCAAAATAATTTATTACTTTCCCTGACAATAGTTTCCATTTAATGGCTGGTCAAAGATAATTCAAAGAATTCCAGTTCATTGGCGTGGTTCCAAGGGGACAAGTAGGTTGAATTCCCCTTTGAGAGTCATCAAAGTGGTGGGGCTTTTGGAACAAAATTTGGGATTTTGCTGCCAATTCCAGATACAGTTTGTGGTGGATACTGGACATCATAGGGGTGGTTGTGCGGGTGGTTGTGGGGGGTGACGGTCGCTTTGCCCTTGAACTGAGGAGTCAGCAGCGTGGGTTCCAAGCCCGAGGTGGTGAGGGCACACATGGCGGTGCCACTACCATCACCACTACCACCATCTATTGATGCCGTGGTCTATCCATGCCAGTGTAGTCACTCATCCTCACTATTCACTATTAAACCTGGTGTAGGGCCACGGGATGTACTCCGGGATGTACTCCGGGATGTACTCTGGGATGTACTCCGTCCCCTGGGCACAGCATAGGGTACACTACCCGAGCGTATGCAGTGGAGTACATTTCCGAGCTTCACTGGTGAATATGATTCCTCACTATCACTACTCGAATGTGTTCAAGCGCATAAAATCACAATCCACGTCACTATCATCATCATTACTGAAGTCAGAGGCCTGGCCACACGAAAGTATTAGTTTTCTCTTGCGTTGAGGTACAACTGACCGTGGCTGACGAGTGCCCACACCAGAGGTTGAAGGTTGAGGATCGACAGGGTTTTCTGCACTATTTCGATATCCTGGGGCATTCCTTTGGTCACTAACTGATCAAAGCCATAGGATTCGTCTTCATTTCCCCTTCCATCGTGTCAGAACTAAACAGATAGGAAGAGGAGAGTCCCAATTTTCGTGGAGTGAGAGCTGACTTGCAACGAGGCATGGTGAACAAGGGTAACTGGAGCCGGCGTTCCACAATGCTATGCGGGTGCCTAGATTTTTTGTTTATGGCGCCACCCACACGCAGAATCGTTCTCTCACATGTAGGCCTATGAGCGCTGTCGTGCTAAATTTGACGGCGCTAGAATTTTTTGGGATAGATCTATGGTTTGGACACTCAACGTGAAGCTGTAGATCTACGGGACAGACCCTGAAAGGGTTACAGCACCTATGAAACATTGCTTTGGTGTAGAGTTTTTTAAAGTTTGAAATGATCTGCTGGTCCATGGGCTGGAGGAGTGGAGTGGTATTAGGGGGAAAGAACTTTACTGTGATGAGCCCAAACTCCTGCAGAATTAGGTCATCCAAGTTTGGAGGATGAGCAGGTACACTGTCCATTACTAGGAGACACTTGAGATCCAATTTATTTTCCTGGAGGTAATTCTTCACACTGGGGCCAAACACTTCATTGAACCACTCAACGAAAATTTCCCTCGTGACCTATGCCTTATTATTAGCTCTCCAACACACACACAATTTATTCTTCATGACATTGTTTTTCATGAATGCTCTGGGATTTTCAGAATGGTACACTAGTAACAGCTTCACTTTAAAATCCCCACTAGCATTACTACAAAGTGTCAGCCTGTCTTTCATAGGCTTGTGTCCTGGCAGTCATTTTCCTCCTGAGTAATGTGGGTCCTCTTCAGCATTTTCTTCTAAAAGAGGCCTGTTTCATCACAACTGAACACTTGTTGGGGTTTTAATTGTTCAGACTGTATGTGCTCATTGAATTCACTTACGAATTTTGTAGTTGCAATTTTGTCTGAGCTGGCAGCCTCACCATGCCTTATCACACTGTGTATGCCACTACAGTTCTTAATGTCTCAAACCAGCCTTCGCTGGCCTTAAATTCACAAATATCAGTACTCGTTGCAGGCAATTTCTTCACGAGATCGTCATGCAACTGCCTAGCCTTTTCACAAATAAGCGATTGCATAAGACTATCTCCTGCTAATCGTTTCTCATTAATCCACACCAACAATAACTTCTCAACATCTTTGAGTACTAGCGATCTCATTTTTGTCAGCTTACTTACCCCCTTTGCAAGAACAGCCTCCATGATTTCCTTTTTCTTGGCCACAATAGAAGCTATGGTTGTATGGGGTTTCTTATACAGTGGAACCTCAAAAATCGAACTTAATCCGTTCTAGGAGCTAGTTCTAAATTTGAAAAGTCTGAAATTCGAAGCAATATTTCCCATAAGAAATAATGGAAATACAATTAATCCGTTCCAGAAACCCAAAAATATTCACACAAAAAATACATTTATAGAATTAATTACAGTTTTTACATACAACAAATACATAAGTTTTTAATTATGTACAGTAATACATATAAAATAACATTTTTACTTACGCTTTATTGAAGATTGGTGATGGCATCTGGAAGATAGGGAGGAGGAGAGAGGGAGTTGGGGTTAGTGTTTGGAAGGAGAATCCCCCTCCATGAGGACTTCAGGTAAAGCCCTCTCTGGGGTTACTTCCCTTCTCTGTCTTTTAATGCCACTAGGACCAGCTTGAGAGTCATTGGACCCCTGTCTGACAAAATAACTGTCCCACAGTCCTCTGTTTCTGGCACCCTCTTTAACATTTCCCTAAAATGGGACATGGTTCTATCACTGAACTTGTTGCAAAGATGGCTTGTTTCAGCTTGCTCAGGGTGGTGCTTCTGCACAAACATTTGGACATCATTCCACTTGGCACAAATCTCCTTAATTTTTGAAGAAGGCACCTCATCCACTCCCTATATTAACACCTTTCGCAACATCAGCTTCCTTGATTTGTTCTTTCTTTGACAGGATAGAACCGATGGTCGACTGTTTTTCCCATACATCCTGGCAAGCTCAACAAGTCTCACACCACTCTCATACTTCTGTATTATTTCCTTCTTCACATCTATGGTGTTTCCCACTTTCTTTACCACAGGGGTACCACTAGCAAATTTCTTTGGGCCCATGGCAGCTTATTTCACAGTCCCACAAGCACTAAACACAACAAAATAATCGTAAAATGCGTGAGAGCGCAGGTTAGTGTTCACTCAAGCATAAACAAAGCTAGACTGCTCACGGCGCCTGCGCGGGTACGCGGACAGAGCGGGCGGCAGACAGGTCCCGTACCCGGCGGTCCGAAAATAGGGGCGCGTTCGATAATAGGGACACAGTTTGTCCAAAAAAATGGTCCTATTTTCGAAACGTTCGATATGTGATACGTTCGATTTTTGAGGTTCCACTGTACATCCTGGCCAGTTCGGCCACACGTACGCCACTTTCATAATGTTCAATGATGTTTTTCTTGAATTCAATCGTATTTCTCACCTTCTTTACCACAGGCATGGCACTAGAAGCTTTCTTTGGAGCCATGATAGCTTATTTAACAGTTGGAAGCACTAAAATGAATGGAATATTATGAAATATTTCGTATGAACAAGTGAGGGGATGGTCACTTACTGGTAAACAATGCCACACTGGCTGGGAAGGGAGTGCGAGGTGGCTTGGGGCCGTGAGTACGCGTCCGGGACGAACGACTATTTACGAGTCAAATGACGATTCGCGAGTCAAATGAAGATTTGCGAGCCAATGTTCTGACAAAAAAAAGTTACTATTTCCGAAAATTATGACTTCTGAGCCTTACGATTATCGAGGGTCCACTGTACCTTGAAACTGAGCTCAAAGTAGCGGAAATATTTGATTTTTGCCGATGTTCAAAAGTAGACAAATGACGTCACCATCCATGACGTGTCCAACTGGTCAGTCTAATACACAGTCATGAATGGGCTGACATTATTTATACAATTATTACAATAATGCAGTAGTCTGCATAACAGTAAATCTTTTATTTTTTTGTGTGAATAAAAATTCAAAATGGAAAGCAAGGGCACTGGACAGGTACCTAAAGTCAGTATAGTACCTGACTAACCAGGCTGTGGTTCGTACGTCAATTTGTGTGCGGCCAGTAGTAACAGCCTGGTTGATCACACCCTGATCTACCATGAGGCCTGGCTTCAGACCAAGCCACAGGGGCACTGACCCCCAAAACCCTCTCCAGGTAATACAAGAGGGGCCTGGAGACATGACTAATGAACAGAGAAAATGTTACATATTTTAGTGCCAGGAATGTCTCCATTGTTTATTCTGAACCTTATTTTGAAATTGGCATCTTTTGAAATTTGTGTGAATTTCACCAAATTGCCAATTTCTGACCACTTTACTGGGTAGTTGAAATCAGTAAAGGGGGGGTTTCTTGTACTCAATCGATAGAAGAAATGGAATTCTAGCAAAATAGCTATGAGTTTGGTCAACTGGAACAATGGAACTGGCCAAAAATAGGGCTCAAAGTGGGCAAAGTCGCTGATGCGTAAATATCTCCTAGACCGCTAACTTTGCAAGAGTGTAATTCCGTAAGTTTTCCATCAAATTTTACACTTTTGGTGTCATTACCATCGGAAAAAGTTTCTCTATCATTTCATAAGAAAAAATAATTTTTTTTAAATTCTTCGACACTGAAAGCAAGTTTGTGAGCAGGGGTCTCGATAGCGAAAGGTATAATTATTTGGTGTTCACACTTATCACAATAATAAGTCTATGACAAAAACAAAATAATCCTGGATACAGGCATAAATTATTAAATAAAGCATACCATTATTGATAGAGCTGTTGCAACAAAGGTGACTAAAGGTGATATAGAAGGCAGAACTGCATGATCAAACTCTTGAACTAACCCCCCCGTCATGGCAGCTCTCCCTGTTAGTGACACCCAGCCAAGCTTAGTGCCTGTGGAAATGAAAACATTAAATTAAGTTATAAAGCTTTTTGTATTTTACTTAACTGCAATATCACTCTGCAACTGACTGAATAATATAACTATCACAGAAACATATGAATTTCAAATTAAATAATAAACAAAAATTTACACTCTCAACTTGCAGGAAATAAGTTTTCCATATTTTTTTTAACAAACTGGCCATCTTCCACTAGGTAGGTAACCCCTCCTTCCCCCCCAAAAAAGAAGAAACACATTTGCTATCATTCACAAAATAGCTGTCTTGCTAGACATCATAATTCAAATGACCCTCTGAACTGCAATATCCTCAACCTTCCTTCAGCATGCAAGCACCATACTTTCCATCTCAAGGACTTAAGTCTGACTAACTGGTTTACCTAAATCCCTTTATAAACATTACCTGGCTCACACTCCAACAGCACATTAAGCCATAAGAACTATTGTACTTGTCACTAATCCACTCTAACTTTCACACAAGCCTGCTGAATGCTCTAGCCCAGGGATGGTAAATCTTTTTATGTCAGAGGGCTGCTTAAAGTTAACTGTAATCTAGAACAGCAACATTCAAGAAATTTTGATTAGATATACTGCAACATGTTGGTTATATAATAATTATTATATAATAAATGTAATAGCAATACATTGGTACCTTGACTTACAAGTGCCCCAAATTATAAGTTTTCTGAGTTACAAGCAGTCGCTCGGTCGATTTTTTGCTTTGAGTTGCGAGCCAAAATCCGAGTTATGAGCGAGATTCAGATACACCACCACTAGTTGGCGCAGCATATCCATCACAGCCTGGTTGATCTGGCACCTGGTGAACATACTTGTCCAGTTTCCTCTTGAAGGCTTCTACACTTGTCCCAGCCGTGTTTCTGACATCGTCTGGTAAGATGTTGAAAAGTCAGGGACCCCAGATGTTGATACAGTGTTTCCTTATTGTTCCCACCACACCCCTACTCCTCACTTCCTCCCATATCTATCACTCCAGTATGCTGTTATGGCAGTGTGCAGATTTGGGATCAGGCCCTCGAGTATTTTCAAGATACATACATGTATATATTATCATGTATCTCTAACTCCTCCGTGTGTGTGGGGAAGAACCCTGTCTGGTGTGTGGGGAAGTACCCTGGCTGGTACTTTTTTAGTGGGCCTGAAGAAGATAAATTATGTAATATCTCAGTCACCAGCAAAATGGTTAGCAAAAAGATAGACCGTTTGAAGCAAAATAAATTGCCCAGTCCAGATGAGCTTTTTTCAAGGGTTCTTAACCCTTTGGGGGTCGCCAGGCCCTCTCAGAGACTTGTTCTCAGGGTCGCCAAAATTTAAAAAAAAAAAAAAAAAAAAAAATTTCCTATGAAAAGATAGAGAATCTTTTCCCGATCATAATGACACCAAAAGTATGAAATTTGATGGAAAACTTACGGAATTATGCTCTCGCGAAGTAAGCGGTCTCGACGATGTTTACGCATTAGCGATTTTGCCCAATTTGAGCCCTATTTTTGGCCAATTCCAGTGCACTAGTCGACAGAAATCATAACTATTTAGCTAGAACTCCATTTTTTCTATCAAATGAGTACAAGAAACCACCCATTTACCGATTTCAACTATCCAATAAAGTGGTCAGAATTTAGCAATTTTGCCAATTTCATACAAATTTCAAAAGATGCCAATTTCCGAAGTGTCCAGAATAAACAAGAAAGACATTCCTGGCACTAAAATAACAAGTTCTCTGTTCGTTAGTCACATCCCCATCCCCTCTTATGCAGCAGTCTGTTATGCAGACTGCTGCATTAGTGTAGAAATGGTATAAATAATATCAGCACACTTGTGAAAGAATATTAGACTCACCAGATGACATGTATTGGACGCTTGGCATGATTTGTTTACTTTTGAACTTTGGTAAAAATCAAACATTTCTGCTACTTTGAGCTCAATTTCAAGGTACTTTTAATTGTAAAACCAATCAAAATCATCTCAATTTCTGTAATATGTGTTCCATTCTATAAAATGAGACCAAGAAAACTAGAATACAACAATAAATACGATACAAAAATACAGTGCAAAGTCGCTATTTTAATCGAAAAGCAAGGTCAAAGTTTTTTTTTTTCTCATTACGCACTGTGTGCTGCAGGATTTTTTTTATACTGCGCACACTGACCACATAGACCCATTCTTTCATATGTAGGCCTACCAGCTTTCTCTCACTAGATTTGAGGGCGCTAGAATTTAGACGTACTAGTACGTCAAAAACCCTGAGGCATAAGCCATACTAGTACGGCCAAAACCCCCAAACGGTTAAGGAATGCAAAATGAACTCTGTGAACATTTAACTAATGTTTTTAATTTATCTCTTCAAACAAGTGTAGTGTCTGATATGTGGAAGACGGCTAATGTAATTCCTATTTTTAATCCAGGGGACAAGTCGTTACAGTCAAATTACCACCCAATAAGCCTAACCTCAATTGTAGGCTAAATTACTCGAGTCAATTATAGCTGATAATATAAGAAGCCATCTCAATAAGCATAATTTGATTAATGATAGTCAACATGGATTCACGAGGGGCCTTTCCTGCCTAACTAATTTATTAACTTTCTTCAGTAAGACTTTTGAGGCAGATGATCACAATAAAGAATTTGATATTGTTTACTTGGATTTTAGTAAGGCTTTTGATAGAGTACCACATCAGAGATTGTTAACCCTTTGACTGTCTCAAGCCCATTTCTGAAACTGTCATTCTATGTCGAAAAATACAGTGGACCCTCAGTTAACACCTGCATAGGATAACGCCAAAATCGGAAAATGCTTCACTTTGGCGTAAAAAAATTGGCTCGGATAACACCTAAAAACTCAGTTAGGAGCTGTCGTCTTGAACAGAGGAGGTTGCCGTCGTCAAAGATTAAGGAAATGTGTACAATGTTTACAAAGTTGCAAGCATTTATGGATGAATATTATCCTGACACAGCTGTTGCAAGCTGTATTGGCAACTTGTACAATGACACTCTTGTGGCCAATTTTAGGGAAATCTTAAAGGGACGCGAGAAACAGAGCTCTCTGGACAGATATTTTGAGTGACAGGGATCCATTGACTCTCAAGCTGGTCCTAGTGGCATTAACCATTTCAGGGTCCGTGCCGTAGATCTATGGCTTTACATTGAGGGTCCAAACCGTAGATCTACGCCATGAGTTCAGATCACTCTGATAAGCTGTGAGCGGTAAATTTGGGCCCAGAAATGAGAGAATACATCTATTTGGTATATGTGCACCACATAAAATAAATCCTGCAGCATACAATGCATAATGAGAGAAAGAAAACTGAGACCGTAATTTTCGATTAAAACAGTGACTTTGCAGTGTTTTTTTCGTATGTTTTTCATAGCTGTATTTGCGATTTCTTGGTTTCATTTGATAGAATGGAAGATATATTACAGAAATAGAGATGATTTTGATTGGTTTTAGTACTGAAAATAGCTAAAAAAACAGAGCTCAAAGTAGCCAAAATGTTCAATTTTTGCCGATGTTCAAGAGTAAACAAATGACCTCACATGTCTAATACACACCAGCTGGTGGATCTAATATATATTCAAAAATGTGGTGATATTATTTATTCAATTATTACAATAGTATTTCATAACAGTAAATCTTCTATTTTTTGGTTTGAATAAAAATTCATTATGTGAATAAAAAATCAAAATGGAATTCATTTGTAAAGCCTGAAAAACGTAGCTAATGAACAGAGGAGATGTTAGTTTAGTGCCAGGAATGCCTGTATTGTTTATTCTGGACCTTATTTTGAAATTAGAATATTTTGAACTTTGCATTAAATTGGCCAAATTACCAATTTCCAATCACTTTATTTTGTAGTTGAAACAGTTGGCATGGAGATTTCTTGTGTTCAATCGATAGAATAGAAGTAATACTAGTGAAATAGCTAAGAATTTGGTCGACTGGAATAATGTAATTGGCCTAAAATGGGAGTCAAAGTCGGCAAAATCACCGATGCGTAAATATCGCTGACACATCAAAATTCGCATAATTTTGTCAATTTATCATCAAATTTTGTACTTTTAGTTTTATTACCTTCAGAAAAAGATTCTCTGCCATTTCTTAAGAAAAAATAACAAAATTATTTTTTGAAAATTCTTGGACACTGGTGCACACTTTGAAATTTGGCCTCTGGACCCTGAAAGGATTAAAAAACAAAGAAGGGAGATAACCCCAGAAAAGGACTTGTTACTTGAAGTCTTTATGGAAGGGGATTCCCCTTCCAAACAATAGAACACCTGCATCCTCTGCCCTCCTACCGTCTCATCACTCATCAAAAATTCCACAATAAAGGTAAGTGTCATTTCAGTAATGTTTATTGTGCATGTATCATTGTTTTCTGTGTAGGGAAATGTATATTTCTTGTAAAAAAAATATTTTGTTTAATACTTTTGGGTGTCTGGAACATTAATTGGATTTCCATTATTTCTTATGGGGAAAATTAATTCGGCTAAAAGGTAAATTGGTTAAAGCCTAGCTCTCTGGAAAGGATTAAAGGCGTTAACTGAGGGTCCACTGTATTTGAAAAATAAAAAAAATTATTTTTTTCTTACCATAATGCTAGGATTATTTTGCTGAGTGTTTAAAGCCTAAAAAAAATTTTTTTGTGATCATTACTTACCGAGATATAGAGGCGCAAAGTTGGCAGAAAATGAGCCATGTACGGCTACAGCAACGAATGCCACACACCCGGTAAACCTTTTTTTACTCCAATTCGAAGGTTTCTTGCTTTTTCCACTACTTTAATTTTTCAGGTAACTTAAACGGGGCTCTGGTGGCCTGGTGGTTAACGCTCTCGCTTCACACGGTGAGGGCCTGGGTTCGATTCCCAGCCAGAGTAGAAACATTGGACGTGTTTCTTTCCACCTGTTGTCTATGTTCCCCATCAGTAAAATGGGTACCTGGGTGTTAGTCGACTGGTGTGGGTCGCATCCTGGGACACTGACCTAAGGAGGCCTGGTCACAGACCGGGCCGCGGGGGCGTTGACCCCCGGAACTCTCTCCAGGTAAACTCCAGGTATGTGTCCTGTGAGACCAAAGTAAGGTGCAATGTACATATATACACTCTTTGTATACAGCACAATAAGCACACAAACATAATTATCAATATATTGTTTACAAAACTTGTTTGATAAATTAGACACATGTGCAACTCTTGGGTATCTTTATTAAGGAAACGTTTCGCCACACAGTGGCTTCATCAGTCCATACACAGGAGAAGCTTGAAGAATAGGAGGAGAATGTGTATGGACTGATGAAGCCACTGTGTGGCGAAACGTTTCCTTAATAAAGATACCCAAGAGTTGCACATGCGTCTAATTTATCAACGTGTCGGTTCTGTGAACCATTCATCTACAAAACTTGTTTACACAAACACAAATTTTTTTTTATTATTATTGTTCTATAATATATATATATATATACAAATGTACAGTCACTGGACATGTTCCTAGAAGTTCTGCAGCTTGTGGAACTGTCTGAAACATGGTTTCATACATAATGGTGTTGTACACTCCTCACACATAAAACAAGTTTCTCTGCATTTTTGTGGGCTTTTTTTTTTTTCTGTATGTGCACAGACAAAACACTTCTGTCTGAGAAGTTTTCTTCAAAGTAGTAGCAGGCGGTTGTGTTAGGTAGTTATCCAAGGTAAATGGTCTTGTGCCATCATTCCTACCTACCTTTCTTCCTTTCTTTCTTTCTTTCTATCTTCATTTTTTCTTTCTTTCTTCACACTTTCCTTCCTTCCTTCCTTCCTTCTGGTTTCTATAATATTTATACACATATATAGTCACTGGACAGTTTCAAAGAATTGCTATTATCTTCAGGAAGTTTGTGTGTGTGTGTAGACTTCTAAATGTGCTGAATCAGGGTCCAGCAGCTGTCAAAATGACATATTATATCATTATTCACTCCCCCTACTGCCAGTCAACACAATGGGGTCTGATGCTCGCTTCCCCTCCATCCTTCCTAGCTAATTATCTTACTTTCTCCTTCTTTCTTCTTCTTTCTCCTTCTTTCTTCTCTCTTCTTCTTTCTAATTCTTTCTTCTCTCTTCTTCTTTCTCCTTCTTTCTTCTTTCTTTTTTCTTTTTACACAGGGTTTGACAAGGTTAAGGATCCATAGCTTTATTGGCAAGCTATTTACAGGTTAAGGATTCCTAACTTTATTGACAATTTGGAAAAATACTCAATTTGGAAAAATACACTCATTCAATCTACATAAAAAAAAGTTATATTTTTGTTTTTCAAAATCTTCCCCCACACAGAAATTTTTATTTGGGAGTATGCCACAGTTTAAGGGTTAAGTGAATGTGAGCAGATCAAAAAAATTCTGTGAACTGAGATTTAGAGAAAGCAAAGGATTGAGCCAAGTTCAGAAAACAAGAGTTTTTAACCCTTAAACTGTCCAAACGTAGATCTACGTTTTCTCAACATTTGAAAGTATGTAAAAAAACGTAGAGCTTCCTTTTTTTTTTTTTGTTATATTTGAAAATATGTAAAAAACGTAGATCTACTTTTGGAGCACTACGCATGTGAATATAGATCTGTTTGGACAGTTTAAGGGTTAAAAATACACTAAGTCATATGTAAACCATACCATGGGCAGGGTTAGAACCAGCGATCAGAGAGTCATAAAACTCCAGACCAACATGTTAGCCACTGGGCCAGCTAGCAACAATAAGATTCATCCAACTAAGTATATTTATACACCATAGGAAGGTTAGCACAGGCACCACTGTGACCACAAATTCAAGTTTTCACAGACAAATCTCCAGCTAGTGTGGCCATGTAATAATGTTGGTGGAACTACTGACAATATGTAAAGTAAAATGACACAAGTGCAACTAATGTGACATTTTATTGTGGCAACGTTTCGCTCTCCAGGAGCTTTGTCAAGCCGTTACAGCTTGACAAAGCTCCTGGAGAGCGAAATGTTGCCACAATAAAATGTCACATTAGTTGCACTTGTGTCCTTTTACTTTACATAGCGTGGCCATGACGAACTCTAGCTCAAGTCCCCTCAGAGACGTCAACATGACTCACAAAATCATAATGACACTATTGCAAACAAACCATACCATGGGCAGGATTAGAACCTGCAATCAGAGAGTCATAAAACTCCAGACCGATGCGGTAGCCACTGGGCCAGCTAGCCACAATAAGATTCATCCAACTAGATATATTTATACACCATAGGAAGGTTAGCACAGGCACCACTGTGACCACAAATGAAAGTTTTTACAGACAAATCTCCAGCTAGCGTGGCCCTTGATGAGCTCTAGCTCAAGCCCCCTCAAAGCCGTCAACATGACTCATGAAATCGTAATGACACAACTGCAAACAAACCATACCACATCTGTAAAAACTTGCAATTGTGGTAACAGTGGTGCCTATGCTAACCTTCCTATGGTGTATAAATATACCTAGTTGGATGAATCTTATTGTGGCTAGCTGGCTCAGTGGCTAACGTATCAGTCTGGAGTTTTATGACTCTCTGATCGCGGGTTCAAACCCCACTCATGGTATGGTTTGTTTGCAATCGTGTCATTACAATTTTGTGAGTCGAGTTAAGTCATATGTGTCGTAATAGGTGACTAAAATGCTGGGAGCAAGGAGCTAGTAACCCCCTTCTCCTGTATAAGTTTCTAAATGTAAAAAGAAGAAAACCTTTATGTTTTACTCTTTTTCAGGTCACCCTGGCTTAGCATGAAATGGCTGTTGTGCTAAAAAAATATTACCACATCTTAAAACACTCACCAAAATACTCCAAAACTTTATCAGCAAAGTTATAAAGTGCCCAGAAGTTTGGGGCCCAGTATGCATGACTCAGACCACGTTTGAAGGGAAACAGTCGTGACAAAACCTGCAGATGTATAAAGTACCATAAGATGATGTTACATGTTTATATAGCTAATTCTAGAACTGGCAAAATGAAAGGTGTCAACAATGTTGTTGGAAGTATTGGTACATAATTTATAACTTTCTTTAGCCTATGCTAGTTAGCATGGTGCCAAGTGCATTTGTCTTCAAGTAAATATTCATATTCTAGTATAACTTTTGACAATCCTCAATAATAAAACAAACTACTGTACTTCACCCACACACTATTATTCCATCCTTCTAGTTTATTTTCAGCATCACCCTCCCTCTCACTTTACCCACTTATGCCCCTTACTTGTTTTGTTAACCAACAGCTTTCCATTCTTTCTGTATACAGGTCTCCCTCAACATTCACGTTTTCAGCTTTCGCGGGCTTCACACATTCGCGAATTCCCAACCGCCAAATTCCCAGCCACCAAATTCCCAGCCGCCAAATCATATTCAAGTTTCCCGCCACCTGCGAGTCCCTACTACCCTCCCACCGACCCCCGCAACTGGCAGCCAGCCCTCCCACCACTCAGTGTGGTGAGTGTTTTGTTTGTTCATTATTTGCTATTAAACTACAGTATAAATAATGTAAACACATTCATGACTGCATATTGGAATGGCTATTTGGACAGGTATTAGACAGTGACATCATGTGTTTACTCTTGAACACAGCAAAGAATCAAACATTTCTGCTACTGCTAATAATAACAATATAATAAAAATAAAAATAATAATAATAATAATAATAATAATAATAATAATAATAATAAAAATAATAATAATAATAATAATAATAATAATACGATATATAATTGAAGAAGGAAAATTGTACAAAAATACGAGGGAGTGGTTGACATCATCGTCAGTGTGGCTTTGTTTATGCTGGAGTGAACATTAGTCTCCCTGCTCTTCCAAACATTTCACAATAATTCATTGTTTGGTGCTTGTAGATTGAGTGCGACTGGAGTGGTTGAGGCAGTGGTAGAGGCAGTGGTAGAGCAGTGGTAGAGGCAGTGTTTAGAGGCAGTGTTAGAGGCAGTGTTAGAGGCAGTGATAGAGGCAGTGGTAGAGGCAGTGATAGAGGCAGTGATAGAGGCAGTGTAGAGGCAGTGGTAGAGGCAGTGATAGAGGCAGTGGGAGAGGCAGTGGTAGAGGCAGTGATTATTTACTAACATTTTTTTTTTTTTTTTTTTTTAACAAGTCGGTCCCTCTCCCCCCGAGGGAGGGTGACCCAAAAAAAAAAAAAGAAAATCCCCAAAAAGAAAATACTTTCATTTATCATTCAACACTTTCACCACACTCACACATTATCACTGCTTTTGCAGAGGTGCTCGAATACAACAGCTTAGAAGCATATACGATATAGAGATACAAACTATCCCTCCAAACTGCCAATATCCCAACCCCTCCTTTAAAGTGCAGGCATTGTACTTCCCATTCCAGGACCAAGTCCGACTATATAAAATAACCCGGGTTTTCCCCGAATCCCTTCACTAAATATTACCCTGCTCACACTCCAACAGTCGTCAGGTCCCAAGTATCATTCGTCTCCATTCACTCCCATCTAACACGCTCAGCACGCTTGCAGGAAGTCCAAGCCCCTCACCCACAAAACCTCCTTTACCCCCTCTTTCCAACCCTTTCGAGGATGACCCCTACCCCTCTTTCCTTCCCCTATAGATTTATATGCTTTCCATGTCATTCTACTTTGATCCATTCTCTCTAAATGACCAAACCACCTCAACAACCCCTCTTCTGCCTCTGACTAATGCTTTTATTAACTCCACACCTTCTCCTAATTTCCACACTCCGAATTTTCTGCATAATATTTACACCACACATTGCCCTTAGACAGGACATCTCCACTGCCTCCAACCGTCTTCTCGCTGCTGCATTTACCACCCAAGCTTCCACATCCATATAAGAGTGTTGGTACTACTATACTTTCATACATTCCCTTCTTTGCCTCCATAGATAACGTTTTTTGACTCCACATATACCTCAACGCACCACTCACCTTTTTTCCCTCATCAATTCTATGATTAACCTCATCCTTCATAAATCCATCCGCCGACACGTCAACTCCTAAGTATCTGAAAACATTCACTTCTTCCATACTCCTCCTCCCCAATTTGATATCCAATTTTTCTTTATCTAAATCATTTGATACCCTCATCACCTTACTCTTTTCTATGTTCACTTTCAACTTTCTACCTTTACACACATTCTCAAACTCATCCACTAACCTTTGCAATTTTTCTTTAGAATCTCCCATAAGCACAGTATCATCAGCAAAAAGTAACTGTGTCAATTCCCATTTTGAATTTGATTCCCCATAATTTAATCCCACCCCTCTCCCGAACACCCTAGCATTTACTTCTTTTACAACCCCATCTATAAATATATTAAACAACCATGGTGACATTACACATCCCTGTCTAAGACCTACTTTTACCGGGAAGTATTCTCCCTCTCTTCTACACACTCTAACCTGAGCCTCACTATCCTCATAAAAGCTCTTTACAGCATTTAGTAACTCACCACCTATTCCATATACATACTTGCAACATCTGCCACATTGCTCCTCTATCCACTCTATCATATGCCTTTTCTAAATCCATAAATGCAATAAAAACTTCCCTACCTTTATCTAAATACTGTTCACATATATGCTTCAATGTAAACACTTGATCTACACATCCCCTACCCACTCTGAAGCCTCCTTGCTCGTCCGCAATTCTACATTCTGTCTTACCTCTAATTCTTTCAATTATAACCCTACCGTATACTTTTCCTGGTATACTCAGTAAACTTATTCCTCTATAATTTTTACAATCTCTTTTGTCCCCTTTCCCTTTATATAAAGGGACTATACATGCTCTCCGCCAATCCCTAGGTACCTTCCCCTCTTTCATACATTTATTAAACAAAAGTACCAACCACTCCAACACTATATCCCCCCTGCTTTTAACATTTCTGTCCTGATCCCATCAGTTCCAGCTGCTTTACCCCCTTTCATTCTACGTAATGCCTCACATACCTCCACCACACTTACATTCTGCTCTTCTTCACTCCTAAAAGATGGTATACTCCCTGGACAGTGCATGAAATTACCGCCTCCCTTTCTTCCTCAACATTTAAAAGTTCCTCAAAATATTCTCGCCATCTACCTAATACCTCCCTCTCCCCATCTACTAACTCCCCTACTCTGTTTTTAACTGACAAATCCATACTTTCCCTAGGCTTTCTTAACTTGTTTAACTCACTCCAAATTTTTTCTTATTTTCATTAAAATTTCTTGACAGTGCCTCTCCCACTCTTTCATCTGCTCTCCTTTTGCACTCTCTCACCACTCTCTTCACCTTTCTTTTACTCTCCATATACTCTGCTCTTCTTATAACACTTCTGCTTTGTAAAAAACCTCTCATAAGCTACCTTTTTCTCTTTTATCACACCCTTTACTTCATCATTCACCAATCACTCCTCTTTCCTCCTGCCCCCACCTCCTATAACCACAAACTTCTGCCCCACATTCCAATACTGCATTTTAAAACTATTCCAACCCTCTTCAACCCCCCCACTACTCATCTTTGCACTAGCCCACCTTTCTGCCAATAGTCGCTTATATCTCGCCCGAACTTCCTCCTCCCTTAGTTTATACACTTTCACCTCCCTCTTACTTGTTGTTGCCACCTTCCTCTTTTTCCCATCTACCTCTTACTCTAACTGTAGCTACAACTAAATAATGATCCGATATATCAGTTGCCCCTCTATAAACATGTACATCCTGGAGCCTACCCATCAACCTTTTATCCACCAATACATAATCTAACAAACTACTTTCATTACGTGCTACATCATACCTTGTATATTTATTTATCCTCTTTTTCATAAAATATGTGTTACTTAATACCAAATTTCTTTCTACACATAGCTCAATTTAAGGCTCCCCATTTACATTTACCCCTGGCACCCCAAATTTACCTACTACTCCCTCCATAACATTTTTACCCACTTTAGCAATGAAATCCCCAACCACCATTACTCTCACACTTGATTCAAAACTCCCCATGCATTCACTCAACATTTCCCAGAATCTCTCTCTCTCCTCTACACTTCTCTCTTCTCCAGGTGCATACACGCTTACTATAACCCACTTTTCACATCCAATCTTTATTTTACTCCACATAATCCTTGAATTTATACATTTGTAGTCCTCTTTTCCTGCCATAGCTTATCCTTTAACATTATTGCTACTCCTTCTTTAGCTCTAACTCTATTTGAAACCCCTGACCTAATCCCATTTATTCCTCTCCATTGAAACTCTCCCACCCCCTTCAGCTTTGTTTCACTTAAAGCCAGGACATCCAGTTTCTTCTCATTCATAACATCCACAATCATCTCTTTCTTATCATTTGCACAACATCCACGCACATTCAGACTTCCCACTTTGACAATTTTCTTCTTCTTATTCTTTTTAGTAATCTTTACAGGAAAAGGGGTTACTAGCCCATTGTTGCTGGCATTTTAGTTGACTTTTACAACATATATGTTATAAATATATATGTTATAAACATATATGTTATAAATAATAATAGTACATTATGAATAACTATTATTATTAATATAAATGTTATTAATATTAACATGTACTATTATTATTTATAACATACGTATATGTTAGTAAATGCCACTGCCTCACCCACTGCCTCTATCACTGCCTCTATCACTGCCTCAACCGCTGAATTATTGTGAAATGTTTGGAAGAGCAGGGAGATTAATGTTCACTCCAGCATAAACAAAGCCACACTGACGATGTGTCAACCACTCCCTCGTATTTTTGTACAATTTCCTCCTTCAATTATATCGTATTATTATTATTATTATTATTATTATTACTATTGTTATTATTAGCAGTAGCAGAAATGTTTGATTCTTTGCTGTGTTCAAGAGTAAACACATGATGTCACCGTCCAATACCTATTCAAATAGCCATTCCAATATGCAGTCATGAATGTGTTTACATTATTTATACTGTAGTTTAATACCAAATAATGAACAAACAAAACACTCACCACACTGAGTGGTGGGAGGGCTGGCTGCCAGTTGCAGGGGTCGGTGGGAGGGTAGTAGGGACTCGCAGTGGTGGAGGAAGTGGTGGAGGCATTGGTGGAGGCAGTGGTGGAGTCTGTGGTATTTAATAACATACATGTTATTAAAGCACAACATGTATATATTTAGTACAATTTACAACGTTTTCATGTATTTTATGATTGTTCATGGTTCAACAAGTTAAGCAGTATTGTATTATATTTCCCTACAATATACAGTGGACCCCCGCATAGCGACCTTAATCCGTGCAAGAGGGCTCATTGTTATGCAAAATGATCGGTATGAGAATGAATTTTCCCCATAAGAAATAATGGAAATCAAATTAATCCATGCAAGACACCCAAAAGTATGAAAAAAAATTTTTTACCACATGAAATATACTTTTTCCTACACACAAAGAGAAGGATACATGCACAATAGTAGAGTAGTACATGCACAATATATATTGTGCATGTACTACTCTACTAAATGAAGAATAAATGACACTTACCTTTATTGAAGATGCAGCAATGACTGATGAGACACTGTGTCCTGGGAGTGCCTTTTCCTCCTGAGTACTGTAGGTCCTGTTTGGCATTTTCTTCCAGAACAGGCCTTATCACACTGTGTATGCCACTACGATTCTTAAATCTCTCAAACCAACCTTTGCTGGCTTTAAATTCACCAATATGAGCACTAGTTCCAGGCATTTTTCCCTGTTCACCTGGGTGTTAGTCGACTGGTGTGGGTTGCATCCTGGGAGACAAGATTAAGGACCCCAATGGAAATAAGTTAGACAGTCTTCGATGACACTGACTTTTTTGGGTTATCCTGGGTGGCAAATCCTCTGGGGTTAATTGTTTCTTGGTATTCTCAATAAGCCACACCAATAATGGTGCTACAGCAGCAGCAGCAGCAGCTGACAGTGCTACCAGCAGCAGCAGCAGCTGACAGTGCTACAGCACCACTTCCCCTTTCACGCACCTCGGTGCGCTTGCTCTCCCTCTGTGGGTTTCTAGCTCTCTTGCAGTGCTCCCCTTCCTTTGTATTTGACTGGTTCGTCTTCCTTATTTCCCACTTCTACCACTACCACTACTACTACCTCTTCTTCTTCTACTACAACTACTGATGAAATTAAGACACATGTGCGGCGTCTGGTTGTCTTTGTTGTGGACGTTTCGCCATCCAGTGGCTGGCTGGATGGCGAAATGTCTACGGTGGGGATGCCCGGGTGTTGTGCATGTGTCATTTCATCCTGTCGGTATTATATACAATTCTTGTACTACTACTACTACTACTACTACTACCTCCACCTCTTCCTGCCTATATATAGCCGTTCTGCTCCACCTCTGTTAGTGTGACTTTGTCAATGGTCCAAGTCGGACCGAAACGTCGTCGTAAGCTTCTCTCTTTTATGTGCGGGTTATTTGTGTATCACTCTGAATAAGTAATTAAGTTTATTCAGGTATACACAAATACAGTTACATAGATTATCATATATAGCAGCATATGTGTAGGGAACCTAGGATAACCCAAAAAAGTCAGAGTGAGGTGCATTAAATATCGTATAAAACATTAATATAGACATGGCTCATGAAATCGTAATGACACGATTGCAGACAAACCATACCACAGACAGGGTTAGAACCCGCGATCAGAGAGTCTCCAAACTCCAGACCGTCGCGTTAGCCACTGGGCCAGCTAGCTGGCCCAGTGGCTAACGCAACGGTCTGGAGTTTGGAGACTCTCTGATTGCGGGTTCTATCCCCATCCGTGGTATGGTTTATTAATATAGACATTTTGCTTAATCCATCTATGACATTTTTTTTCAGAATTATATAATAAACATGTTACGTAACATATAAACACGATAAATACACCCACAGTAAAATAATTTATTATTTTTTTATTATCACACTGGCCGATTCCCACCAAGGCAGGGTGGCCCGAAAAAGAAAAACTTTCACCATTATTCACTCCATCACTGTCTTGCCAGAAGGGTGATTTACACTACAGTTTTTAAACTGCAACATTAACACCCCTCCTTCAGAGTGCAGGCACTGTACTTCCCATCTCCAGGACTCAAGTCTGGCCTGCCGGTTTCCCTGAACCCCTTCATAAATGTTACTTTGCTCACACTCCAACAGCACGTCAAGTATTAAAAACCATTTGTCTCCATTCACTCCTATCAAACACGCTCACGCATGCCTGCTGGAAGTCCAAGCCCCTCGCACACAAAACCTCCTTTACCCCCTTCCTCCAACCTTTCCTAGGCCGACCCCTACCCCGCCTTCCTTCCACTACAGACTGATGCACTTTTGAAGTCATTCTTTTTTGCTCCATTCTTTTCTACATGTCTGAACCACCTCAACAACCCTCCTCAGCCCTCTGGACAACAGTTTTGGTAATCCCGCACCTCCTCCTAACTTCCAAATACGAATTCTCTGCATTATATTCACACCACACATTGCCCTCAGACATGACATCTCCACTGCCTCCAGCCTTCCCTCGCTGCAACATTCATCACCCATGCTTCACACCCATATAAGAGCGTTGGTAAAACCCATACTCTCATACATTCCCCTCTTTGCCTCCAAGGACAAAGTTCTTTGTCTCCCCAGACTCCTAAGTGCACCACTCACCTTTTCCCCCCATCAATTCTATGATTCACCTCATCTTTCATAGACCCATCCGCTGACACGTCCACTCCCAAATATCTGAATACATTCACCTCCTCCATACTGTCTCCCTCCAATCTGATATCCAATCTTTCATCACCTAATCTTTTTGTTATCCTCATAACCTTACTCTTTCCTGTATTCACTTTCAATTTTCTTCTTTTGCACACCCTACCAAATTCATCCACCAATCTCTGCAACTTCTCTTCAGAATCTCCCAAGAGCACAGTGTCATCAGCAAAGAGCAACTGAGACAACTCCCACAGTAAAATAAATTAACATAAATATGAGATATTTTTCTAGTTGGCTTGCAGAGTGAACTAAAAGCATATGGGTCTGGCTGGTTTGTTTACATAACTCATGCTGTCCTCTCTCATGCACTCTCTCTCTCTCTCTCGTTTATTCGTTTAATCTTGTTTACTCACCTCTCACCCTACATTAGGACTACAAATATTTTAAGGTAAGTAATGAGTGTACTGTATATGTATTCTATCAATCTAGGGCACTTTAAATGTCTAGTATTTAATATGTGAGTGGGGAGGCCAGATGGGGTTACAATACTTAAAACACTGTTCGATACCTACCCACCCAACTATTCACCTTGCACCCTATATTAAGACCACAAATATTTTAAGGTAAGTAATGAGTGTATACTATATGCATTTTACCACTCTTGGGCTCTTCAAGTCTCAAAGTATATTACATGTAGGTGGGGTGGGGTGGGGTAGCCTGGCTGGCTACCATACCTACCATACCTAACTTCTTACAATAAACACTACTCACTTCTCACCCTACATTAAGACTAAAAATATTTTGAGGTAAGTAATGAGTGTACTGTGTGTGTGTATTTTACTTTTTATTGTTTTTTAATCCTTGTTCTATTGCTAACTTAATATATGTTAGTGTAAACTTATTATCTGATATTTATAAGTGGAAACAAATGGCGTTTTGCTTTCCAGCGATGTTTGCTTTCCAGCAGTAGCCTGGAACCTAACCTGGAGTATAAGTGGGGCCCTACTGTAATATTCATTTATCATTCAAATTAGTCATTTATATTTATTTCTCATTGTTTTCTGTATGTAAAACTATAGTTATTCTCTATAAAATGTATTTTTTGTTAATATTTTTGGGTGTCTAAAATGGACTAATTGGACTTACATTATTTATGGGAAATATTACTTCGATTTTCAGCCATTACAGATTTCAGCCAACCTTCTGGAATGGATTAATTATGAAAACCAGGGGTCTACTATAATCCACTGGAGAATAACAAGCAAAGCATAGTTGAATAATATTAAAATTCATTATAACAAAACTCTCATGAAACAAATCTAACCTGACTGAGTTGTACTTTCATAATAAATGGTCCAAATGACAAGGCAAAAACTGCTCCCACTGTTGCTCCAAGCTTCACCAAACGAAACACAGACAGTGAATGCCACTGTACATGCCCTTCAACAGTTGAAGAGAGGCAGTAGGAGCGTAAGAGGTAGATGAAGTAGACTGGAGCAACATACAGGTAGATGTGCTTTAGGTTGAGCAGGACAGAAAACCAAAAAGCAGCTTCAACTTCTCTTCTCTGTAAAATATGAAAGCCACATAAGTAGTCCTTTAATAATATCTCCTTGACAAGTCACTTAATCATTACAAATTTCAGAATTAATATTGTAGCATAAAGCGAGTTGTCAGCAGATAGGTTTAAGAAGGCCAGGGTTAACCACAGAATTGATGAAGGAAAAAAGGTTAGTGGTGCACTGAGTTATCTGTGGAGACAAAAAAAAAAAAAAAATTTCCATGGAGGCAAAAAAAGGGAATGTACGAGAGTATAGTGGTACCAACACTCTTATATGCGTGTGAAGCATGGGTTGTAAATGCTGCAGCGAGGAGGAGACCAGAGGCAGTGGAGATGTTGTGTCTAAGGGCAATGTCTGGTGTAAGTATTATGCAGAAAATTCGTAGTGTGGAAATTAGGAGGAGGTGTGGAGTTACTAAAAGTATTATTCAGAGGACTGAAGAGGGGTTATTGAGGTGGGTTGGTCATTTAGAGAGGATGGAGAAAAATAGGATGACTTGGAGGGTTTATAAATCTGTAGTGGAGGAATGTAGAGGTAGGGGTCATCCAAGGAAAGGATGGAGGGAGGGGGGTAAAGAGGTTTTGTGTGCAAGGGGCTTGGACATGCAGCAGGCAAATGTGAGCATGTTATTTAGGAGTGAATGGAGATGAATGGTTTTTGGGATTTGACAAGCTGTTGGAGTGTGAGCAGGGTAATATTTTGTGAAGGGATTCAAGGAAACCAGTTAGCCAGACTTGAATCCTGGAGGTGGGAAGTACACTGCCTGCACTTTAACCCTTAAACTGTCCAAACGTAGATCTACGTTTGGACAGATTAAACTGTCCAAGCGTAGCACTCCGACCTTGATTTTCTCCATAAGAAAGCATGTAAAAAATGTAAATCTAAGTTTGGAGTGCTACGCAAGCGAACGTACATCTACGTTTGGAGAGTTTAAGAGTTAAAGGAGGGGTTTGGGATATTAGCTGTTTGGAGTGACATCTAAACTGTCATATCTGAGCAACTCTGCAAAGACAATGATTGTGTGAATGATGGTGAAAGTGTTGAATGATGGTGAAAGTGTTTCTTTCTTTTTTGGGTTACCCTGCCTTAGTGGGAGATGGCCAACATATTGAAAAAAAAAAAAGAAAAAAAAAAAAAGAGAAGGCATTTACATACAGTACAATGGATTCTCAATTATTCAAAGTGAT